GAGAAACGAAACGGCATGGGTCCGTGAGGAGCATCCGGCACTCCGGATGGCTTTAAATCAGCCAGGTAAGCGTGGCAGGGGAGGGACTACCCAGCACGGTGGAACATCCTGTCCAGTTCCACCCAGAACACTCAACAGGATTTACTCGCTCCAGCCTGGCTGGAACACGATACCTGCCCGGGCCGTAAGCCAAGACCCAACTAGCTCAGCTACAGCTTTCGGTGCTGCTCCCGCGACCAAGGGGCAGGGCATTGCGAAACGGATCCCGGTTAACAGGGCGCTGGCAACGTGGACGTCGGGAAAACTCACCTTGATCACAAATGGCTCCGGCTGGCACTGCAATTCCTTGTCTTCCACGACAGTTACCGGCCCGCCTGTTGTGATGCTGCCTCCCAGAAACACCTGGAAGCAAGGGAACGTGTGAGAACAGGCGTTGGCTGCCAAAGGAACAGGAAAAGTGTCATTTTCTCCCTTTAAAGAAGGAGATACTGTAGGGTCCTTGTAGGTCACTGCCTCACCTGCCCCACCAGCCTGGGCCTGCGGGTGTCGGAGATGTCGTACTGGCGGATGTCGCCGTGCAGCCAGTTGCTGAAGTACAGGAACCTGTCGTCCAGTGAGATGAGGATGTCGGTGATGAGACCTTCAAGAAAACATTGTCACAAGGCACGAAGTCAGGAATTGGACAGGACCAGCAACGAACAGGACCACCAGCTCTCCAGTCACAGCAGCCTCGGAAGGATGCGTGAGGATACGGGTTGAACAATCACCCTGGGAAAGGCGGTGCTTGCTCCAAAGATGCTACCAGCATTCCCAGGACCATTCCTCAACACCATAAGCTCATGCCCAAGGACCCACGCTCCAAGGATTTTTGTAGAGGAACTGCCCTCAAGCCCTGAGCCGTGTGGGAGCAGAGGTGTGACAGTCTCCCAGCCGGGGGCTCATAAACGAGGCTGATTTGGTTGGAGTGGTTAACGCAGGCAGAAATTCAGTCGTTACGAGGGAAGCGTTTGCCATTCGAGGGCGAGATTTTCATAGATTTTCCCAAAAGCTACTCTGCACCAGGGAACCCAAGAGGACAACACCCCGTTTCTTTGCCGAACGCGCTCACACTAACCAGGCATGTCAGGGAGAAGCCATCCTTGCACCTTCTTGCTGGGTACCTCAATCACCTTCTCCGCCGCCCAGTCTCCTTTCTGCAGGAGAGAGCACCGCGTGATCGCTGCCGGGACGGCAGCCAAGAGGGCTCGGCTACGCGCGGCAGAGGGAGGGGAAGCAAACAGCGCTGTTCATCTACCAGGCCCCGTTCTGAGGCGCTAGGCACGCTGCAAGTACGCGTTACACCAAGGGGTGAGGATGTAACTACACGGCGAGTGAGAACGTTAATGATTACACTGGGCAGGAGCAGCTCAGGCTGCTGAACAGCCGCAGAACAAAAGGCTGATCTACAGCTCCGTGTCCTCCCCGCCGCCAGCTCGCCCTCTAAAACAGCAAAGCTCTACGCCCCTGCCCGGGATCCATCGCTTTCCCTCCCTCCTCTGCCTTCAGGTCTGCCCCGTGCTTCCGAACGCTGGCACCAGGGATGAGCCTCACGCGTTCCGACGAGCACGATGAGCACGTGGCGGCCACGTTCTCACGTTTGAGTGAGTGCTAACATTCCCGTCGTCCGCAAGACCTTCCCCTCTTGGAGACCTCCCCAGTTCGTTAGCTGTGATTAAATTTATTGATGAGTTATTGTGGAGGGCAGGAGAGCTGGAAGTGGGACTGAGAGGCCAGCACCGTGACCTCCTAAGCCGCAAAAGGCATGGCACGGGCGGGTACGCATGCTCCCTGACCCAGCGTTACAGCTTGCCTCGAATTAGGCTGGAATTAGAGGCTCTATTTTTTTTAAAAAATCAGAATTTCCCTATTTCCCAAGGGATCAGCAGATTTCTGACCCAGCTGGGTCTGAGCTTCCGTGTTTGCCTCGGTTTCCATCACTCACCTCTGTCTTGTAGAACCGATGCACAGTGCTACTCAGAGCACATCCAACAAACCCTTCGGCAGCATCCGGATTGTGGAGGAAGCGGATTTCCAGAGGTATGGAGCCTTTCCCTAAGTCAATGGCCTGAATGTAGGCGTGAGTGCTCCAATCCCACACATTGATGCGTTGGCCATAATACCCTAACGGATGGGGTCAGACGAAAATAAACACAGAAGGTACTATTTTAACAAAAAAACGGCTTTTCCTTTGGGGAGTTTGAAGGAATTCCCTCTCACCTTTCTCGATGTCAGCCAGGTTGAACCCATCTTTGAAGGCTTTTGGGGCTCCCCACTCGGTGCTCATCAGGACATTGTGGCGTGGCTGGTACCAGAAGTCGTAACCCAGGGGGGCCACCTTCCCCTCACTCTCCCAGTTGCTTTTCACTTCAAAGGTCTCTCCATCCAGCAGAATAAAGCCACCTGATGCAAGAGCAGGTAAAAGCTGGGTGAAGACATCCTCACCAACCCACACCTTCCCCTAAGAGAAGCAATAATCCCTATTTCAATGCCTATTCTCCGTGAAACGCAACCCTGTGCTTGGGGAAAAGTCTGGGATTCCGCTGGCATTGCTCCTGGGGACTGGAGCAAAGGAAAGATGGACTTTTAAAGAACTTTATGACATTGTAACGGATTTTTTTAAGCTTCATTTTGCACCATTTCTACTCAGGTCACTGCAATAAGTCAGTCAGCCCTCCCAGAGTACATTCCCATTAAGGGGTAACTCAGAGGAGGTCCTGGAGGGGTCCCCTCTGGTTTTCTTTGCTTGCCACCAGCATCCTTGAGTTACCTGCACAGCACACATCTCTTCAGGGGCTGGTAGCAGAATCTCTCATGCCCGAGTCACAAAAACAAGTCACTTAAACAACGGCCGGAAGGGGTTTATGTGCACAAAGAACTTCAAGCTCTTCCCAACGGTGCTGGCTTTGCAGCCAGGCTGTCGGGAGCACGACACTGCTACACCACACGTACCGTGCTCGAGCAACGAAGGGGATTAATACCTTTCCCATTGCCAGATGGGTCTCCCAAACAGCTGATTAAGATGTCACCACTGCCCAGACAGTGAGAGGTGTGAGGATTAGCCATGTTACCCTTCCGGAATAACTCCACTGGCTCAACAATCTAAAACGAGCAGACACACAGAGTCACCCTCTTGGAGATGCTACAGGAGCAGCTCCACCCTGGAGAGTTCAAGTTTCTGGGAGGGAGGAAGGAGTGGGAATGGGATATGTGTGAGGGGAGTTGCTTCTTTTGCAGTTTTGGGTTTTGAGCACCTGCCACCTCCCACTTTCTACCCTGCCCAGCAATACAGCACCGCCCACGACGTGTATTTGTTCCTCTCAAAAACAGCAGCAGCCAGACCAGAACGGCACAAACCTGCCTAATTCCTGCAGCGGTGAGACACCGACACCAGCATTTGCTCCGTTTGTATCAGTGCCAGAAACACAGCTTGTGCCATGCTCAGACATCAGCTCTCACTGGGATACGAGCAGTTCAGAGGGGGGAAAAAGAATTGTCGAGACTTGCCAGAGACCCAGAGTGGAACAAAACTCACTCAACGAGAAGAGGCCTTCGGGGGTTTTATTCCACGGCATTAATAGTTAAAGCCTCTAAAGAACTCAAACCCACAAGATGATGAGTGAGAGCATTTGCAGGCAGGTGGGGTGGGACAGAAGCCCACTTACAAGTTTCCTCACATTCCACGTTATGAACACACCTCAAAATACCTTTGTGATAACCCGATTCATCTCTGCCAAAGCTGGAACTTCGTACCGAAGCTTCATGCGTCGTTGTAGGGTTCACCCGAGCCAGTACAGGCGCTGGCAGTGTACACATGTACCCCTAAGCTCATCCTCTACGCGCACTTTACAGCCAGTGAACAGAAACAAACACTCCCCGGGCCCAATTCCTTTATCCTCTGACGGTTTTCTAAGCTAGGTTAGCTAAATCTGGCTCCAGCAATGCCTACGCCGTCGTTTTCACTGGCTGCAACGAGAACCTGAACAGTCAGACGTGAAGATGGGTAAGTCTGGATCTGCACCTGCAGCTATGCCAATCTCAGTACCTCTGCCAAGTGGATTCTACTGCAGGGAAAGTCTTATTTTGGGAGGAATTCAATTGTTCCCATGAACAAGAGATTTAAAAAATGTTCATTTCCCCACATTGCAACATTTCCTTAAAATTTTCTAATAAAAACCCCGCATATCACATGTTTAGGATCCCAGGATTACAATCCCAAGGTGTCCTTTCCGGAAGAGATTCAGATCTGAACTACAGAGTTTCAGATTTGAACTCTGAAAAACACACAAGCTACATGTGCTCAGCTGAGCTTGCCTCCTGATCGTGGGGTCAGTAAGACAGCGTGCAACTCCTTCACCCAAAATTCACATTGCGGAATTCTGGAAGTTCCTAATTCCTGAGTGCGTGACACCACATTTACTCACATTTCTTCAGTGCAAGATTTCCGTGTGTAGTTTATCAATAAACTGTAGGAGTTTTAAAACCCCCACAAGTTCCTAAGGTTTGGGAAAAGCTTCCGTTCCCACTCTCCTAATTTGAAGTTGGAATCCATAAAATGACTGTCTCTTGGTTGAACTACAAGAAATAAACCCCCACCTGAAAGTCATCTAAATGTACCTTATGGATTCGAGGAGCGCGCAAGTCTGTTCCCACGTCCACCACATAAATGCGAGAAGAGATCAGACTCGGGAGAATCAGACGGTTTCTCCTCTTCGTGGCGTCCCCAAAGCAGCTGCTACAGGCGTTCCACCCGGAGTGATGGAGCTCATCCTTCAGATTGGGCATGGGCAGGCGATGGATCACCTACGAAGAGGCAGACTTAAGATTCGGTCTGGTGTAGCGTTTCCCCAGGCGAAGAAACGGGTCTTGATGTCAAGGCATAAATTACTAACGAGCAGAAGGAATGGCTCTTTGTTATTCAGGAAGCAGGTTCAGCCCAAAATACGCAGAGCTCCAGCTGCGAAACGGGGAAAGAAAGTTGGACATCGTGGTTGCGTAGCATTTGTGGGACACTCTGTGCTATCCAATTCATCCGACTCTTTAAATGACTAATTAAGGAGACAGGGAATAATGACATGGAAAAAAAACCCAACAGAAAAAGTCATCGCTTGTCCATGTGCCGCGAATCTCCAGTTACAGCCGGGGCTGGCTCTAGCCAACAGACACGTTAATTTGCATTCTTGCTTCCGATTTTCACCCTTCCACTAAGAAAAGGGGAAAGACCACAGCTACGTCGGGGCAAAGTTGTAGGAGATCTGTTTCCTCCACTCCTCCGCAATAAAACCCTACGCAGTAGCTATAAAAAAAACCCCAAATTTAATAAAACCCTAAGCAGTAGCTATAAAAAAAAAACCCAATTCAATAAAACCCTAAGTAGTAGCTATAAAAAAACCCCCGAATTCAATAAAACCCTAAGCATTAGCTATAAAAAACCCCACCAAACTAGGAAAATCATTGTTGTCAAACCAGATTTGCTGCTCCCTAGAGACCTGGAGATCAGAGTCCAAAGTATCTTCGGTAACTTGAGTCACGTAAGCGACGGCAGGCGTAAATGCAGCTTAGGGCCACGCTGTTTGCAGGTCAAACCGAGAAGCTTAGGGACAGTTTTTCCAGTGTTTTGGACACGGTGTATTGGTAGCTAACCACCTGGAGCTCTCCATTTATCCAGTAAATGGATGAGATTGGTAATATCTCATGTGTAGAATTTCCCGGGGGATCGGATGTGCTACATCACAACCTACACTACTGGGACACCCCAAGGAATATCACCCCCTGGAGCTTAACGCTCAGCGTCAGCCGGTGTTACAAAAAGAGTTATTAAAGTTCTAAGCGTAAAAATGCTCTGAAAGTGTCTTGAGAGCAAAGTTTGCTTGGAGTAACGTGGAGAGAAGAGCAGCAGAGGATGGGATTGGTTCTCAACACAAACATCTACTGGAAAATGGTCCTAAGAAGAACAAACATGAAGCCAAACACAGGGCAGGGAAGGAAAGGCTGCACCAGAATTCCATCCAAAGGGCTGAGAACCCGGTGAGACGGAAGGCCGCGAACGGAGAACGCAAACCCGAGTATTCCCTGCGGAGCACCGGAGCCGTGCCGCCCGCGGGTACCTGGCAATAGCGTGGAGATTTGGGGTCAACATCCACAGTGGCCAGGTAGTCCGGCTTCTCTATCCCGGTGTTTCGGTAGATGCAGGGCAGGTACACAATCTCCTCCCGCGGACCTTGCAAGGCACAAGTCTTGATTAATGCAGCCAAAGAAACCGTGTTTACAAAAGGCCATGCTTAACCTTCTCTGGATTTAACCTCTGCCTGTAAAAACTGTGATTCTCCCGAGGTAGCTGAACCCCAGTATTCCCATTTTATGGAGAAACACTACTAGTACATTGTTGGAGCAGCCAGAAACGGTCAAGAGAAAGTGCTTATTCAGCCTGGGGGCCTTTCCACTCCTTTGCCTGACCATAAGGGGCTCTGGGGATGCAGTTATTTGGCTGAAAACCGTGCTGGAGCCCACCCCCAGCCTGCAAGGCCCATGTCACGCTTCCCCGGGGACACAAGTGACGACTCCATGCTGCCAGAGCCCAGCTTTCCGCCCGCCTCTGCCAAAAGCCGCCTTGTCACCTGTAACATGCCACGGCAAAACTGTGGGGTTTAAAACACACCAAGAGGGCTCGAGGTGGAGCTCTGACGCCACTAAAAGCTTCAGCCGACTGCCTCAGTGTGACCCTCAGCGAGGGTCAGGGTTTCGCTGGGCACTGCCGGGCCGAACAGAGCGTGACTTTCGTACACCACGAGCAGATGCTTCCCGTTGAACCGTTTCACACGGAACATCCTGCACCTATTTCCCTATTTCCCCCTCCTTCTACCTTAGACACCGACGTGCGGACGAGAGTCTGAGGGCGCTCTATAATGAAGTTGTGCAAAGCCACCAACGAAGCGGGTTTTTTAGATTAAACCCCCCCGATATTCTTAAAGGCAGGCCCCGTTTGGCAGCACCGCAAACCCGCAGTGCTCGCGGCACGCCAGTGCCCTGAGCCGCGCACACGTGGAATCCCAGGCCCGCTCCTGCTGCCGCTGAGACCGAGCGACCTCACGGCACGAGCTGCGCCCAGAGCCGGGAGCAAAACGACCCCAAATCCCTTTGGATTTGTCAAGTCTCCTTGGCCTTGCTCATTAACGAACCACTCGGGAAGGCGTCGTCCTGGTCTTCACCTGAGCCGAAGGCCTTTCCTTTGGTGATGGTGTGAATTTAAGAGAAGATGTTACGGTACTTGCCCCTCATGGCATCCAGAGGCGTTGCGTATCCCGGCCCGCACGCTCCGCATTTTGCTGATTGGAGGAAAAAGAAAGCAGTGGTTTTTGTTTCCAAGGTATTGCGACGCGCGTCTCAGGGAGGATGTCGGCTTCGCGTTCGGAGACCGACAATCCTGGATCCGATTTGTACGCTGGCAAACGCCCCCACGGCTCCCTGACTCCCAGTTAGCTCCTCGAGTCGCTGAAAAGATACACCACATGACACTCTGTGCTGAAAAATAATGGGAAATCTGGGCCTACGAGTTCAGCCTCACAAGTTTAAAGCACATTCATACATGACAGAGACTTTCCTTGATCCGGCATTCCCCGCCTGGAGTCCTAGTGGAAAACAGGATGACCAGGAGCCAGGAGTGTGCCCTCATGGCCAAGAAGGCCAAGGGCATCCTGGGGTGTGTTAAGAGCATGACCAGCAGGTCAAGGGGAGTTATCCTCCCCCTCTGCTCTGCGCTGGGGAGGCCTCCCCTGGAGTGCTGTGTCCAGTTCGGGGCTCCTCAGCTCAACAAGGACAAGGAGCTACTGGAGAGGGGCCAGCGCAGGGCCACGACGAGGATGAAGGGCCTGGAGCACCTTCCACGTGAGGAAAGGCTGGGAGAGCTGGGGCTGTTCAGCTGGAGAGGAGGAGGCTGAGGGGGATCTTATCAATGCTTATCCATATCTAAAGGGTGGGTGTCAGGAGGATGGGGCCAGGCTCTTCTCAGTGGTGCCCAGTGACAGGACGAGGGGCAGTGGCCATGAACTGGGAAACAGAAGGTTCAGCCTGACCATGAGGAAACCCTTCTTCCCTGTGAGGGTGACAGAGCACGGAACAGGCTGCCCAGAGAGGGGGAGGAATCTCCTTCCCTGGAGACTTTCCAAAGCCCCTGGACTTGTTCCTGTGTGATCTGCTCTAGGGGATCCTGCTCTGGCAGGGGGGTTGGACTACATGATCCCTAGGGGTCCTTTCCAACCCCTTCCATGCTGTGAAGCTGTGTAAACCGCTGAAATAAACACCCAAATGGGGAAAAAGAGGGGAGAATATGAGCTGTGCTGTACACAGGACACGACACGGACCGTACGGACCACGAGAGACAAGAGCAGCACATCCCTCCTGGCCTACAAGCCTTTTTCCAGGCTACAGATGATGCAAGCAGGCTTTAACGATGTTAAATTTTTGAAGAGCAGCCCAAGACTTGCTCTCCTACGCTGCGGAGAGCGAACTCCTCCAACCCTGTGAGCCATCGATCGCCCTCAGGCTCCTTCAAGCTTTGTGGCGCGGCGTTGGGAGCGCCGCGGCGTTCGGGTAAACCCGTCCTCGTCGCAGCCTGGGAGTTAGAAAGCGAAGCAACGCGAAGAGGGTTTGCGCTGCGCTATTAGAGAAGCACAAGGTGAACAGTCAGGCAAGGAGGAGGAACCAGACTGGTTGTGCTGAGTCACAATCGCTGGGTTTGGCTGTGTAATAAGGGTGGTTTTTTTAATTAAGATCTACGGTCTTGCCTGGTTTTGGGCAATCAGTGTAACAGCATCTCCCTCACAACCCACACAATAACATATTCACGCCCACAAAACCTGCCATCTATTTTAGGCTCCTCCCTCCATTTCCTGTCCATGTATCCAAAAATGGAAGTCCATAAAAATGCCACAGTCTCTCACAAACACACAAGCCAAAAAGTAACATCCCGGTTCTCGGTTTCCTGAGGATCCCCCAAAGCGTCTTTCGCAATCAACCGCAGCCGCGAGCCCAAACGTTATCTCAGCTCCCGCCGAGACGTTTAACGGGAGCATAAAAGGCATTTTCTGGTGGCATTAAACCACTGATTCCAACCCACAGGGGGTTCAACAGCTTGAAGAAGGAACCCTTAGCACAGGCGGAGGGAACGCTGAATTCAGCCCTGCGCCGCTCCTCATTAGCCCACGGCGCTAACGAACCCACCGGCCCCTGCTCGCAGGTTTGACAGTGCAGAACCGTAGCCCAGAGCGACAGATCCTGCCAGCAGATCCCGGCCGGATCCCTTACCCATGTCGGATCGGACGCTCCGGGCGAGTGCTCGGGGAAGTTCAGCTGCCGGGACAGGATTGCTGTGAAGCGAAAGCTGCGGGGAGAGGGTCATATATCGTGGAGCGAAGGGGCGGGCAGCAGAGAGAGAGAAGCTGCCAAGGGGAGGATCCAGCGCAGCTGGGAACACGGGAGGACAACGGGGACACAAATTCAGCTTCAGCCTCCGGGGAATGAGCAGAGGAAGCTCCCAAAGCTCTGCTTGAGCCCACTCTATTCCATCTCGGATTCTGCTAAACCGGCCCCAATAAGAATTAGTCTATTATTTCCCATTGATTTCTTTTAAAGGACGGTGCTTGTTCCCAGGCAACATCACCTCTGTCGCTTCCAAAACATTCCCAGGAGGGGACACGGCATTTTACAACCCCGTCCTGCTTCTCTGCCTTTTGCATAAGCCACCAGCAACAGCAGAAGGACTAACTGGTGCTGAAACGCCACAGCTATTAAAGCAACCCCCTCCGTTAAGCTGCGAGAGCGTCAAGGAGAGCAGGTAAACCACCCACAGCCAAGCAGTTGTTAACCTCTGTTTACCGCACCGAGTTTTTCATACAGTCACGGAATGGTTTGGCTTGGAAGGGACCTTAAAGCCCACCCGGTCCCTGCTTCAGCCTCCATCAAGATCACGCGGAGTCCCGGCTCTCGAGGGCTGCGGGAGGACAGCCAGGCCAGTCGTCCCATCCACCGAAATGCCGTGCGAGGAGCAGCAATGCCGGAGAGCAGGGCAAGGGTATGGCACACACGACGCAAACACGCGCCGGCTGAGCAGGCAGCAGGGTACTCCTGCTGGGATG